TTGAGGATGTTTGATGAGTAGATATCTGCAGTATGGGGGGGTCTTCAAAACCACCCTTGGGTTCAATGATTCACCAGAAGGATTCGCCGAACTTGGAAAAACTCATGGATACAGTTTATTACAGTAAAAGCATATAGCTGGGTGCGGTGGCTCACACCTGTAATCCCAGCACTTTGAGAGCCTGAGGTGGGTGGATCATGAGGTCAGGAGTTCAAGACCAGCTTGACCAACATGGTGAAACCCCGTCTCTACTAAAAATACAAAAATTAGCTGGGCCTGGTAGCAGGAGAATTGCTTGAACCCGGGAGGTGGAGTTTGCAGTGAGCCAAGATCGCACCACTGCACTCCAGCCTGGGCAACAGAGCAAGACTCCGTATCAAAAAATAAATTTAAAAAAGCATACAGACTAAAATCAGCAAAGTGAAAGATTGCTGCTATGGTCTGAATGTTTCGTTCCTCCAAAATTCTTATGTTGAATCCTAATCCCCATGAGGTTGGTGTCCTTATAAGAGAAACCAAGAGACCTGCCTTGTTACTTCTATTGCATGAGAAGGCACCACCTATGAAGAAGAGAAAGCCCTCACCAGACACCGAATCTGATTACAGGTGTACCTTGATCTTGGACTTCCTAGCTTCTGGAACCATTAGGAAATAAATTCCTATGGTTTATAAGCCTTCCTGTTTGTGGTAATTTGTTTTAGCAGCCCAAACAGACTAAGAAAGGGGAAAGAGTCCTTTTTGTCATAGGAAAAAGTACAAGAGAGACCAGGTGCAAGCTTCCAGTTGTTGTGTGTCCAGCATAGTTAGAAGAGGTCAGTCATATGGTTATGGCTGACCATCTGGGTGGCTGAGCCTAGTCTCCAGCCCCTGCAAAGGTCAAGCTAATGTCGAGTGGCCCAAGGTCCCCACCATAAATGACAGTTAGCATAGACAAGCTGGCATGGCTCAGGCAGGAAGCTGCAGGTGCTTGAGGTAGGGCACTATCCACAGAAACCATGAGTAGCCTCCAAGGTGGGCTGAGGGGTAGGCAGGGCACCACCAGCCCCAGCTACACTCCCTCAGGGACAGTCTTGTCATGTCCAGTTTTTCATTCTTACAGACAATGCCCTGGTGCAAGGGTCAGGAAACTTTTGTATAAGGAGCCAGAGAGTCATTTTTTTTTTTGTATTCTCTTTTAGCAATTTTTAAAATTGAGATAAAATTCACATAACATAAAACTCACCCTTTTGGTGTATATGATTCAGTGCTTTTTAGTATATTTTCAAGGTTGTGCCACCAACACCGCTATCTAATTCCAGAACATTTTTAGCGCCCAGAAAAGGAGCTCGGTGCCAATTAGCTATCATTCCCCATCCCCCTTCCTCAGTCCTTGCTAACCACTAATGGTAATTTCTGTCTCTAGAGATTTACCTATTCTGGACATTTCATATAAATGGATCATAATGTATGGCCTTAAAAACTTTGTACATTGGCCAGGTGTGGTGGCCCATGCCTGTAATCCCAGCATTTTGGGAGGCCATGGCGGGTGGATCACCTGAGGTCAGGAGTTCAAGACCAGCCTGGCCAATGTGGCAAAACCCTGTCTCCATTAAAAATGCAAAAATTAGCTGGGCATGGTGGCAGGTACCTGTAATCCCAGCTACTTGGGAGCCTGAGGCAGGAAAATCACTTCAACCCAGAGGCAGAGGTTGCAGTGAGCCAAGATTGTGGCACTGCACTCCAGCCTGAGTGACAGGAATGAAATTTAATCAGGAAGGCAAGGGGAGGGGAGGGTAGGGGAGGGGAGGGGAGGGAAAAACTTGTACAAATGTTTACAGTAGCCTTATCCACAATAATAGTCAAAAGGTGGAAACAACTCAAATGTTCATCATCTGTTGAATAGATAAGCAAAACATGGCATATTCATATAATGGAATGTTATCTGGCTATAAAAAGTAATGCTACAACATAGATGAACTAGACAGAGAGCAGATATTTGAGGCTTTGAGGGTCACATGGCTTCCAAATTATTCAACTGCTATGGTCTGAATAGTTGTGCCCCACCCTGCCAACTTTATGTCAAAATCCTAACTCACAAAGTGATGGCATTATGAGGTGGGACCTTTGGGAGATGATTAGGTCATGAAGGTTAGAGCCCTCATAACTGGGATTAGTCCCCTTATAAAAGATGCCCCAAAGAACTAGCCTGTCCCTTCCACCATGTGCGGACTCAGTGAGAAAATACCATCTATGAGGAAGCAGTCTCCCTGACCAGACACCAAACTTGCCAGTGTCTTGATCTTGAACTTCCCAGCTTCCAGAACTGTGAGGAATAAATTTTCATTGCTTATAAGCCACCCAGTTTATGGCATTTTGTTACAGTAGCCTGAATGGGCTAAGACATCAACTCTGCCCTTTTTGCACAAAAGCAGTATTATGTAAACAAATGAGTTTGAATGTGTTCCAATAAACTTTATTTGCAAAAACAGGTAGTAGTCCATATTTGACTTGAAGGGTGCAGTTTACCTACTCGTGCTATATAAAATATCCTCATATGTGTATTTTTGTCCATTTGTGCAGAAAATTTTATGGGATCAATTTCTAGAAGTGAGATTGCCGAGTCATGAGTTATGAAGTTATGACATATTTGTTTTGAACAGATGCTGTGAACCACTCCAAAATTTGAACCAACTTGCTTTTCCACCAGTGGCACATGAGAGTACTTGAGACTGAGATTTTCTTTTTTCTTTTCTTTCTTTCTTTCTTTTTTTTTTTTGAGACAAGGACACTCTGCTGCTACCCAGGCTATATCCAGTGCAGTGGCACCATCACTGCAACCTTGACTTCCCCGGGCTCAGGTGATCCTCCCACCTCAGCCTCCCAAGTAGCTGGGACTACAGGCATGCACCACTATGTCTGGCTGATTTTTTGTATTTTTTAGTAGAGGTGGGGTTTCTCTGTGTTGCCCAGACTAGTCTCAGACTCCTGGGCTCAAGCATTCCACCTGCCTCAGGCTCCCAAAGTCCTGGGATTATAGATGTGAGTCCCCATGTCCCATCAAAATTTCCTTTATTAAACCCTTTTCCCAAAGAAGTAAAACCCATACCCATATACAAGGGAAGTTTCTGCATTGTCATTCTTGAGTTTTGGAGAGGAAGAGGAAGATAGAACATTTTGCCCCTGGAGAAGAAAACCAAATGGGGCCTGAAGTGACCTCATAATAGTATCTTATTTTAGGTTGAGGCCCACAGGGACGGGGACTCTGGTAACTTGTCCTCATTTGGTAAGATCAAACCTTAGACTACTCACTAAGTATCATTCCAAAAAGCCTTGAGTGTTACCTATTCAAAAAAATTTTTTTTTCAAATGCAGAGAGCTCCTTAGCAATTTCATTTATTAAGCAAAGCTTCCCTTCCTATTATTTCTCTAACATAAGTAATTTGCATGTAAATGAGGTCCACCTGTGCATACTGAGCATGTTACCAAATGTACAAAAAATATACATGGTCCAATTTTTCTCCACAGAGCTGACAGGTACCCATCCCTCTTGATAAAGATGACAAACTATTTCACATAGCTTAGTTTTCCTTAAGTCTTTTTGGCTTTTGGATGATGCACGGAGTTTTTGCATTTTTCTTTTTCTCCCTCATTTTCATCATTTGGAATTCGTAGTGTGAAACCCACAGGGGAGAACAGTGGCTCGTTAGCATTCAAGCTCTGTTTTTGGCTGCATATTTTAGTTGGTTTATATGATTCTCGGCATCCCTCCTGGGATCTAGCCCGCCTTTGCTCGGCTCACGCTGGGTGAATCTGTGATATTTCCCATTCTGTAGCCCTTCATTTATAACACAGGCATAGCCTGCTTTCCCATTAGTGAAACGGCATGCCTGGACTACCCACACACAGATAAAGAATTAGGCGGAACTTGGCCGGGAAGATAAATCAAGTTAACCATCTCATTAGGCTTGAAAGACACAAATTAAGCTTAAGTTGGGATTAACAGAGGAGCCCTTCAAAGAGACATGCAGCACAATAAAAAGTGGAAGAAATTGCCATAGCCGTTACTCTCAGCAAATTTCCACCATTTGATGGAACAGAGGAGACATGAAGTCTCTTTTATAAAAGGTCAACAGACAGAAATTTAGGATCGAAATAGCAGTATAACATTTGTTGAGCTCTCATCACATGCTTGGGACTGTGTGCTGAGAGCTTTACACACATTATCTCATAGAAATTGCACATTGATCTATGAGAGAAGCACTATTAAAATTCCTGTTTAACTAACAAAGAAACTAAGGCTTAGAGAGGTTACTCCACCTGCCCTGGAGTCCCAGAGCTTGGTCAAATGATGGAGCCAGGATTCGCTCTAGGATATTTGGCCCCAGGGCTTAACCTAGTGGTTCCCATTTGGGATGCATTGGCCTCCCCAGGGGCCATGTCTGAAGACATTATGGGTTGTCACCGTTGTAGAGAGAGCAGCTACCAACATCAGGGACCGGTGGGTACCAGGGATGCTGCTAAACCTCCTCCAATGCACAAGACAGTTACAGCAAAGAATTATCCCACCCGTAACGTCAACAGTGCCATGACTGAGAAACCCTTGTTTAATCACTCAGCTGGACTACAGTGACAGGCTCGCTGTTCCACTAGAACTATCCACTTCAAGAGCTCCCTATGCAGTGTGGTGATGCCATGGATGTACATTTAAGGCTGTATATTGTAGGCAGTGCAGCTGTCTGACAGAAGGAACAGCCAATGCAAAGGCTGAGAGGTAGGAACCTGGCTGGCATGGGATGGCAGGAAGCCAGGTGCATCTGTTACAGAGACTCACAGGAGGATGTGATGAAGGAGTTGGAACTCTCACCAAGAAAAGGAAAAAGACGACGTGCCCTAAACGATGACCCCTATGTTTGCAGTTGACGAATGTGTAGACTAATGGCCTCTGTCTTCTCCCTGCCTTCCTGTTCTGTTCCCCTCCTTCCTCTTGCCTCCCTCCTACCCTCAACCCTCTGGCTCCCTAGTTTTCGGCCACAACATGAAGAGCAGCAACGACTTCATCGGGAGGATTGTCATCGGCCAGTACTCTTCAGGCCCCTCTGAGTCCAACCACTGGCGGCGCATGCTCAACACGCACCGCACAGCCGTGGAGCAGTGGCACAGCCTGAGGTCCCGAGCTGAGTGTGACCGGGTGTCTCCTGCCTCCCTGGAGGTGACCTGAGGGCTGCAGGGAAGGCAACTTTCATATGTTTAAAAAAAAAAAAAAAGACAGAAAAAAAATGTCACATACTATTACATCCACACCTGTGTACACACTCGCAACATGTCTACACACGTCCACAGACACAGACACACAGACACCCGAAATCCTCTCAGAAGTGAGAGGAAGCAGACTATTAATCACGAAATGGCCACCCTCAGTGAGACCTGGGAACTTTCTGGAAGCCCCATCTGTAGATCACAAGCTCAGTGGGCTCTGCCGTGGGACTTATTGGCAGTGCCTGCTCTTGTCAATACCCCTGCCCCAAAATGCACTTTCAACCCTCAGGCCAGAGAAAGGACCTCCCAAAGGGTGCCAGTCTCCATCAAGACTGAATTTACCAAGAGTTTGGCCAGTATGTGGGAGACCTGACCACCCCCACTCCCCAAACACACACCCACTGGGTAACTTCTGAACAGGCTGCTGTTCCCTGGGGTTCTTCAAACCTGATACCTTTCTCCAAAGGTGTAAGTATCTTTGTCTTCTCCTTAGTAAATGTGATAACTAGATTATGGACCATTTGGAGAAACCAAATGGCAACCAGAACTATTCCAGTGTCAGAAGCCTCTCCTGGCTTAATGGAATCGTCCTTGTGTTAGCTCATTCCAGGAGACTCCCTGTGGGTATATATGTGTATGTTCTCGTGCATGTGCCCTCACAGGTGAACACATGCGTGTGCCTACGTGTCCTCTTGGAGAGCATGGCAATGAGTCGGGACTTCAATCCTGAGCACTGCCTTCTCTCTGCTTCTCCTGTCCAGTGCGATTCCAACCAGTGTCCTGTCTGTCAGAGACCCCAGCTTGGGTAACAGTAATGTGTGTGTGAGTCAAGTAAATAGGATATGATAACGCAAAAGTAACATTTTTTTGGCTGAATCATGGTGATTGTGACCCACAAAAGATATACAAAGGACCCGATACATGGATTAAATGGCCACCACACCCATCCATGATGATCTTCTTCCTTAATCATACTCTGAGCGTTTTTCTGTGTTTGTCTGTGAACCAATGTTACGTCTCACGTGCTAGGGAATTAATGTAGTTAGAATAGATCTCTCTCTCTTTTTCTCTCTCTCTCTCTCTCCTCTCTCTCTATTGGATGCTTCTGTATCTTTTTCCACAGCATAATGTCTGGTGTGATGGGGAGCTATTTATTGAAATTAAAGATTATTTATTTGTGCCATGCATTCGAGTTTTCTTTTTCTTCATGAACACAGGACATAGAGGGTGGGAGGGCATTGCAGTAATTTTGAGACAGAGTCTCACTCTGTTGCCCAAGCTGGAGTGCAGTGGTGGAATCTCTGCTCACTGCAATCTCTGCCTCCTGCATTCAGCCTCCAGAGGAGCTGGGATTACAGGTGTGCACCACCACGCCTGACTAATTTTTGTATTTTTAGTAGAGAGAGGGTTTTGCCACATTGGCCAGACTGGTCTTGAACTCCTGGCCTCAGGTGATCTGCCTGCCTCAGCAGCCCAATGTGCTGGGATTACAGGCATGAACCACCACACCCAGCCTCAAAACAATGATATTTATTATACTTATAGATTTTGGGGGTCAAGAATATTCAGTATTTGCAATATGTCTGACTTGAGCAATATGCTAATGCAATTTATTCCAGTTTTGCTCTTCTCTATAAAACTTTGCACTTTTTTTTTGAGACAGAGTCTTGCTCTGTCACCAGGCTGGAATGCAGTGGCACAGTCTTGGATCACTGCAACCTCTACCTCCCAGGTTCAAGTGATTCTCCTGCCTCAGCCCCCGGTAGCTGGGACTACAGGTGCATGCCACCATGCCCAGCTAATTTTTTGTATTTTTAGTAGAGACGAGGTTTCACCATGTTAGCCAGGTTGGTCTCGATTTCCTGACCTCATGATCTTCCCTCTTTGGCCTCCCGAAGTGCTGGGATTACAGGTGTGAGCCACTGCGCCTGGCCCAGTTTTACTCTTCTCTATAAAACTTTCCACTTCTTCAGGGCAAGGTTCATGGCTTGTTTAGCTTTTTATTGGCCAGTCCCTGCTAAGGGCTTGATCCAGGTAAATACTCCTTGGGACAAAATGGCTTCACCCCGAGGCTACATTGGGTATTGCAGAGAGAACCTCATGGTGTCTCCCACTCTGGAGTGGAAGTATGGAGGTCAAGGAGGAGAAACGAAGGCTGGGTTAGGTTGATGTATTCCTCTATTTTGCATTGCTGTTAAGGAGTCCCTGAGACTGGGTAACTTATAAAGAGGTTTATTTGGCTCATGGTTCTGCAGGCTATACAGGAAGCATAGTGCTGGCATCTGTGTGGCTTCCGGTGAGGCCTCTTACAATACAGGAAGAGGGCAGTTCCTCTTCCTATACAGGAAGCTTACAATCATGGTAGAGGGCAAACAGTGAACAGGCATGGCACATAACGAGAGAGGAAGCAAGAGGGAGAAAGAGGAGGAGATGCCAGGCTCATTTAAACAACCAGCTGTAATAGAGAACTCACTCATCACCAAGCCATTCATGAGGGATCTACCCCCAATACCCAAAAACCTCCCACCAGGCCCCAGCTCCAACATTGGAGATCACATTTCAACATGAGATTTGGAAGGGAAAAAACATCCAAACCATATTAGTTAAGTTCTCAGAAAAGAAAAGGAGAAGTGTTTTCCATCTCTAGGAAATGGCTTCATTACTGTGGTTTACAGAAGATAAAAGCATAAAAGAACAAACAAAATGAATGAAGACAGGCATGTAATAAGCATTAAGAACTAGAAGTAGAGTCATTGGTGATGAGGCTCAAGGGCTTTGGGCCCAAGAAGCTATAGTTCAAATCCTGGGACCACCACTCCTTAACTGTGTACTGGGGCACAAACCACGTAAGTCCTCAGTTTCTCTGTTGTCTTAGGGTGCCCCAAAAGCAGACCTTGAGGACTTGGGTGCACATGACCCCAGGAAGCGTAAGTGAAGACTAAGGGAAAGGAGAAAAGCAAAAGGCTTCATGGATGAGTACTGTGAGCTCAGTCATGCTGAAGACCCCTGAAGAATACACTAAAGAATTATCATTATGCAGAAGCTGGAGTATTCAATTACTGACCTTTGTCGTCATGGCTTGAGGGCTACCCTGAAAGCATTAAATGTTTGGCATGACAGGATTGTCTGATGGCTGAGTAAGCTCCCATAACACCAGAGAAATCTCTGGGAAGAGGAAGAGGCACATACGCTTGATGAGGTCAGCCGTGTATGTGCACAACGCAGCTCCCTGCAGCCTCAGAGGGGCCAGGTAGACTGAGGGATAGGAGGCAGGACATCCCCAGCATTTGCCACCTTCATTAGTAGTAACAAGAGCACTGACTATCACCACATGAGGTGCCAAACATCACATTTAAGCCTCATGCAGTAACCTTCAGAGGGGTAGAAGACATGTTAATCTTCTTTTACAAATGGGGAAGCCAAGGTGATTTTTTTTTTTTTTCTTGAGACGGGGTCTTGCTCCATCTCCCAGATTGGAGGGCAGTGGTGGGATCACAGTTCAGTGCACTGGGCTCAAGCAATCCTCCTACCTCAGTCCCCCAAGTAGCTGAGACTGTAGGCTTGGCTAACTTCTTAATTTTTTGTAGAGATGTGCTCTCATTATATTGTACAGGCTGGCCTTGAATTCCTGGGCTCAAGCAATCCTTCTGCCTCGGCCTCCCATAAGTGCTGAAATTACAGGTATGAGCCACTGCGCCCAGCTGGAAGTCAAGATTTAACAAGCTTAAGTGTCAAGTAATTGCAATAGAAATAAAAAGTCAGTCCAGGCCCAGCTGCCTAGAGCCTGTTATGGGTTGATGATTTACTGGAGTCCTAACCTCAGAATGTGGCCCTATTTGGAGAAAGGGTCTTTACAAAGATGATCAGGTTGAAGTGAGATCATGAGGTGGGCCCTCATTTGATATGACTGGGGTCCTTATAAGAAGAGGAAATTTGGCTGAGCGTGATGGTTCACACCCGTAATCCCAGCACTTTGGGAGGCCAAGGCAGGCATATCACCTGAAGTCAGAAGTTCGAGACCAGCCTGGCCAACATGGTGAAAACCCACCTCTACTAAAAATACAAAAAATTAGCCTGGCATGGTGGCACATGCTTGTAATTCCAGCTATTTGGGAGGCTGAAGCAGGAGAATCACTTAAAGCCAGGAGGCAGTGGTTGCAGTGAGCTGAGATCGAGACAGCCTGGGCCACAGAGCGAGACTCTGTTTCAAAAAAGAAAAAAGGAGAGGAAATTTGAACAGAGACAGACACATAGGGAAGAAGATGTGAAGAGACAGGGAGAAGATAACCACCTACAAGCCAAGGAGAGATGCCTGGAACAAATCTTCCCTCACAGTCCTCAGAAGACACCAACCCTGCTGACACCTCAATCTCTGACTTCCAGCCTCTGGAAGTGTGAGACAATGAAGTTCTGTTGGTTAAGCCCTGATCTGTGGCACTTTATTAAGACAGCCCTAGCAAACTAAGTCAGAGCCAGTGTGGCTAAACATTCCACTGAGCTGTGTCATCCAAAAATTGGATGGCTTTTTTTTTTTTTCTTATTTTAAGACAGGGTCTCACTATGTTATCCAGTCTGGTGTTGAACTCCTGGCCCAATTGATCCTCCTGCCTCAGCTCCCCAAGTAGCTGGAACTACAGGCACACACTACCATGCCCAGAAATAAGATGACAGTTCTTACCCCTTGGGGTTCATTAGCTGGGAAAATGCCTGCAGAGTGTTTGTTTGTTTCGTTTTTGTTGTTGTTGTTGTTTGTTTTTTGGGTTTTTTTGCCTGCAAAGTTTTACCATAACCCTTGGCACATTGCGTGATGGGGATGATTGCTAGCACACATCAGGCGGTGTTTGCTGGATGATCAGAGGTAACAGTGGAGGACAGATCAGAGCTTTCTGTAACTCCAAGAATAGAGCTCATCAAGAGTCAAGAGGGATGTGTTGAAAGGTGAAGGAAAGACTGAGTTTCTACAAACCTGTGCCCAAGGTGCCCTGTCATGGGCTGTGCACTCGTTTTAATTAACATCCTCCTCCTCTTCAAGTAGGAGGTGGGAAAAGAGATACACAGGCCACGTAAACACCCTCTTTGGGTTAGGAACTTGAATTAAAGAAAAAAGCTGGGTTGGGGATTTTTAAATCCACTTCTATTTTCCCAGGATCATCCTAGAGTACACTCATCTTCTTGGGTGAAGCAACATCCCTGTTTCCCTCCTTGACAGTGATTTGGAGTTCATGGCTGACTCCAGAGTGCCCCAGGATTCCAGCCCACACCTTGGACTTGGCAGAAGCTAAGGACCCCTGCCCAGCTCTGCTCACATGGGATGGGTCTCAGGGTGCTGGGAATAACGATTTCCTGGGCACTGATATTTCATTCCCAGAAAGCTGGGAATCACTGCAAAAAAATTCCTTTCTGTTCCTTTCATGGTGGACTGTCACCCACTGGCAGTGGGATATCTGTCCTTTTTATGATCAAAATGATTTGTAGGTAAAAACTAAAATCTTATGCCTAGAAAAAAGACTGGATCGCAATGCCCTACAGGCTGGCAGCAGCGATCCTTCGGGTCATGATTTTACTACCTAACTGTATTAGTCAGGGCTCTCAGAGAGACAGTACCAGTAGGAAATATGGAAGGGGATTTAATTAGAGGAAATTGGTTCCCATGATCACAGAGGCAGAGAAATCTCAGGGTAGGCCAGCTGCAAGCTGAGGAACCAGAGAAGCTGGGAGCGAGGCTCAGTCCAAGTCCAAAGCCTCATAACCAGGGAAGCCAACAGTGCATCCTGCAGTCAGACCCAAGAGGCCCCTGAAGAACGCTGGTGCAAGTCCCAGAGTCCAAAAACCGAAGAACCTGGAGTCTGATGCCCCTTTAAAGGCAAAAAGAGGAAAAGTGTCCCACTCTGGAAGGGAGAGATCAGACATGGCCAATCTCCCTTCTGCCAGACTACCAGCCAATTGGATGGCGCCCTCCCCACTGAGGATGCCTCCCTCTCTCAGCCGACTGACTCACCTGGCAATCTCCTCTGTAAATGACATATCCAGAAACAATGCTTCCCTAGCTGTCTAGGCATCCCTCAGTCCCGTCAGACTGACCCCTAAAGTTAACCATCATAAGCCTACCCCTTGTCAACCTGGCACCCATGCATGTCTCCTTAAACCATACTTAATCTCCAAATAAAGACAATTACGAGGTCATA